AGTCTGGGTTTTGGTGATATCTTAGTGCAGGATGCTACAGTGGCTTATGTGTAAGTAAGTAGATGCAGGAGGGAAGTGCAAAATGGTAATTTGTTGGAAGTGTCTGCAAGTGGTTAGTTAGACCTGTAAGCTTCGGGAACATAAGCGTTGCAGTTCATGCCTTGGTTGGGTGAGCTTTGCGTAGTTTGGTTGCCTCTTTGTGCTGTGCTTCTGAGGAAGACTTGGTTGGCTAGTGAGCCGTTTGTTTCAGAGGAACCTTTGGTTTGACGCTTATGTTGATTCTAGTTTGTGATAGCTGGAATCTTGTTGAAGACAAAGCTTTAGCAAGCTTTGTCTAGCTGCAGGTAATTTGTCTGGCACTGGTGAATATTTATCTGTTTTTGGACCTCCTGTTAATGCTCTTCCATGCATGGCCCATCATCCATCACCCTTCTCTTCAGTGTGTGTTCTCTCTGATCTCCATCTTTCCTGTAAACTCTTAAAAAGCTTCCTTAGGCACTGATGTTGCGGGTTTGCATCTCTTAAAAGGCTTCTTCAGGCACTAGAGTTGCTGGGTTGGAAAATGGAGACTGGGTGAACAACGATATGAAATTCAAACCGGTCAGTATGGAACATGTATGTCATTTTGAACTTTGCATTTAAATATTATTCTGTGGTGGTTGCTACGTTTGGACAGTGTTCTTAGGGGGGGCATGTTACGACCCCCTCCACTCCACTAGAGGTCTCTGTCTTTGTGTTCTGCTTGCTGGCTCTTGTTTGTGTTTCAGGTGATCAACCTGATGAGCCACACCTGGGCCGTCTACATAAAAGGCCAACACCAACCCATACTGCCCTCTGACTCTTCTGTTGGACACGGCCACGTCTTTGTTTCTGCACATTTTCACACACCCATACACGCAATCATTACTGATAACTGACTTCCACATTTATTAGGTTTCTTTGAAGACCTTTTGGTTTTTGTGGTATTGTAAATAAATATGCTTTTGTTACACTTAACTTGTCTGGTCTCCCATCTTTGTTGCTGCCTATGAGCCAGGCCGTAACATATACAAATCCAGCAAACAATGTTGAGGACATTTTAGCTCCCCTTGTGCTGTAAAATGTTTTACATATAGATGGAGTTGGAGACTTGATCAGTACTTTATATTAAAGATGTTTGCCCCATAATCCTGTGTGATCAGTTATTGTAAAGTTCTCTCTGTGTGTGTTACCTATACACCTCTTCTGCAGTTTGTTGCCTTTGGAAAATGTCTGGAATCTGTTTTTTTTCATAAGATTCACGAAAATAAATACTATACTGTAGCATGCAGGGAGCGTTTATAGTGATGCCAAAAGTTAGGACTGATTAGACCATGTTGTCGGCCTAATTTACAGCTAATCTCCTATGATTGGAAATAGCGATTTGATGACAACAATTATCCAACTGTGCTCACCCAGGCAATTTTCTGGTGCATTCAACTCAGGTTTCTACACAACCTCACACTGCTTATGGGGATAGTACCCCCCAGTATAACCACCAATATTAAATTGCCAATACAATTTGTAACCATAATCACACCGCTGTGTCCTCATTCTCCAGCTATTTACTTTGCTCGCTCACTTTAACCATCCTTCTGGTCTGAATAAAGAGCCACACATGTAAAACAGTGCAAGTGGCAATCACTTGAGAACAACAAATACTTTCTCGTCAATTGTATAACCAACCTCATGGTACAAATTACATGTTTCTTTATAATAATTTCAAGTGTCTCACTGTGGCCACGAGGAGGACCTTTGTATTTCATGTTACATAGTACATCAACTAAAAAGTCTTATTTGTGCCCTGCTGCACATGTAAGCTTGTTGAAAAAAATCAAGGATAAACCAATGTGATTTTAAGACATTGGCTGGACTGTGCTTTTTATAGTGCGTGTGTACATCAAAATAATTTCATTTAAACGAAATTACCAAGCAGGTATGTTAACACACCAGCAGTTTAATTTATGATTAGGTGAGGTTGGAGGTAAGACGTCATTTCAAATGAGGGAAACAAAGACAGCTAAGGCGGCCCCGGTGTCTTCATGAGGTTAGTTATGATGATAGAACCGTTGTGAAGGCAATCTATTCATCTTTAGTGGGTGTATAACTATATGCGATAGGACACAGTGACTAATAACGTAATAAGCCATAATAATTAAGACTTAACTTGAGTCATGTTAAAGGTCACCTATTATGCAAAATCCACTTTTTCCTGTATGTTATACATACTGTACATGTGTCCCCTCTGTGTAAAGAGATTCTGAAAGTTTCAGGGAAAAATATTCTCTGTCTTTTTCTCCTGATCCATTTATATAAAAACCTGTCTGAAAATGAGATGTTGGCCACTTTATGATGTCATA